TTGGCACAGCACTCATGAAGAAGTTTGGGTGGCGGGCAGATTTGCGGGACCCCGATCTGGAGGTAGTGGTGCTTGTCTGCCAGATGGCCTGTTGCTCCTTCTAGAATTGCCCCTGGTATCTTTTGTTTTGTTCCCCACTCCCTTTGCACTCAGGACCATGGCCTTTCCCCTGTTTGTTTGTCTTTCTGCCGCTGAGTATAACTAGAAATCATCTGGTAGTGCTGAGTAAAGCTTTTTGGTAGGCACTATGTGTCTGCTTTCCAGAACACTTAAATAGCAGAGTGGCCAGCATGGACCTGTACGTCAGGGGAAGGATCCATGCAGGAGATGTCTCAGGATCTGACATGTTTACAAACTACTGGAGTCTGACTCTGTTGAAAATGGAGATCCCCTGAGCCATGGGGCAGCTCCCTTAGCCTCTCTGTGTAAGAGAGGAGAGCGAGCAGCAAGGTTGAGTTCTCAAGGAACTCGACTTGAGCATGCCGTTTATGGCAGAGCCTCCTCCTAGACCCTGTCCCTGAGAAGCCGCTTGCTGTAGACGTGCTTTGTGGTGCAAGGTGTCTGCAGACCTTGGAAAGGACTCCTTGCTCTTGACGAGCCGTTTCTCCATCCCTGCACTTGCCGTGTGGAAGCTGCTCTCCGCACTGACGCTGGGAGATCTGAGGCATTCTGCAAAAGCTCTGAGTTCATCCACTAGCTCTGGTTTCCCCAGGCCATGCATTAAGTATGGCTTTCTTGAGCCTCAAATGGGGGTCCTGTTCTCATCCAGATTTTTGCTCTGAAACCCTTCAAGTGCTGAGGACTGTGATTTTTGAACAGGATCATGTTTCTCATTGGGCTTCCTGGGGAGGAATTGCAATCATGCACAACCTGTTGAGGAACTCAGTCTTTTGTTGGGATGCTCTCTATGGGACAGGTGAATTGCTTTAAGTTGCTATATTTCTGGAAGGATTACCCACATTTGCCTTCCATCCAAAATGCGGCTTAGTTGCACTCATATTTTTGTTTGGTTTATATTTTAAAAAAAGGAGGGGAGTATATGGATAGCTAAGTGCTAGTATACAGTGAATAATCTTCTCCTGCTTAGAGTAAATGATTTTAGAATTAAAAATACCCATTCAACATTACAAAAATTGGTTCCCTTAAAGATTCAAGTGCTTGCTGATGGATTCTTGGCTGACAAAATTCCCCTCCCAGCTTGCTTAAATATTAAATCCTCTTCAAAGTGGCATTCAGCTTATCTAGTGTGATTTCTTCCAATTAATCATAATCGTCTAAAGCGTGTATTTTTGTTGTTAAAAATTAGGATCAGAAGTTCGTGGAAACATCTTCTGTGTCTGGTTTAAGTGAGTTAAAGCTATTGTCATGTCAGGTTGGGAGTTTATAATGTAATTTTTTTCCCTCTTTCAGATCTTCATACATGTTAATGATACTCACTTTGTGGCGGGGATTCCTCTTTTCAGGTAGGCGTTCTCCTCACTGGATTTGTCTGGGCAGTATCAGAACAGGCATAATTTCTAAATTGTCTTGCTGTCCACTGTGAGTATTTATCTTCTGGTTTAATATGCACTGGACTGTCACATTAGTCTTGTGGTCTGTCTGGAGCTTATCTGAGAATGTAGGCCAGACTTTGCAATGAGTTATGGATAAAAGCAGACTGGTTTCTGTCTGTCTGTCTGCAGATCTGTCCAGTTCTTTTGTTCTGTCATATTACATGGGCTTTTCTGGGTGGTTGTACCATTATCTTACATTGATTTTTTTTTTTTTATTTTTATTTTTTTTTCTTCTGCAGGCTTCCGTTGGCAAACAGAGAGTATATCAAAACAGCAGGACTGCGGTCAACAATTGCGTGGGCCATGGCATCTCTGGCTGAAATCAGTGTAAGTGAACGTTCATGGCAAAGATGTCAAGGCCCAAACGAAGGGAGGGTTGCTGCTCGTCAGGGCTGGAGCTGGAAACTTTGCAGAAGTGTGGTGATTTCAGTGCTCCATGCACTACTGCATGTGAACAGGTTTTGCCTTATCTGTGGTCACAGTGGGCTGTCACCTGCTGTTCAACCAGATATCTGCTGTAATCCCAGGTCCTTCTCAGCAGAGGTGTTATTCCTTTTACAGATATATGTCTAAATGGCAAGGTATTTTCACTGTCCAGGCTTCAAACCTTGTTTGGGGTTGTTCTCCCAAGGGAAAACAGAAGGAAGAGTGATCTTTTCCACAGATTAAGTTAGTACTAATATCTGTCTGCGGTCCACTCATAATTTTTTCCCCTAAATGTCACCTCAAGGCTGGATGCATTGTCTTTAGTGAAACTATTAATGCTTTTTACTGTATTCTCTTACAAACAAGTTTGGCCGGGTAAGCCAGTGATTATTGTTACCTGCACCGGATTCAGTGGGGATATGTAGGTGATCTGCACATCCATGAGTAAGCTTTGTCCTGGGAGAGGAGTCTGTCTTGCTTGGGATGCAATAACCCCGTTATTTCTGTAGGCAGGTGCCTTTGTGCTGGATCCCATGTGTGGGCTAGGAACAATACTGCTGGAAGCTGCCAAAGAGTGGCCCGTGAGTATCCCAGTGGCAACAGACAGCACCTTTGCAAGATGGCTTGTAGTTGCATCAAGAATCTGTGCCAGAGTTCCACCAGACTCCATTACTGGAAAGCTGGAACCAAACTGATCTTCCTAGGCAGTTGCTAAAAGTGTTTTAGTACAAAGGTTCCACCACAGGAATGCGAAACCAAGTCCTACGTACTTGTGCAGGCGGGTGCTGGGAGCCCTGTATTTATACCGCAGGGTTTGTGTGAGGCAACCACGGACTTTTAAAACTGCCTGGGCTTATCCTGGGATCAGAGGTGTCAACATGACGGTACAGTCAGTTGTCGGCTTTAGAGGCAGCGTGGTTGTTTGTAGCTAGCTGGGATCTTGCTGTTAGGACGTACTCTCAGGATTTCTGTAAGTTACAAGTGTCCTGGGCAGACTGGAACATGAAAGGAGTGAAGACAGCACAGACTTGCCCCGTTCTTCTGTCCCCTGGGTCCACGTATTGCTCTGTGTAATGGTAGTAGATCTCTCAGCAAGGGGTTTGTCTTGGAGGAGCTGTGCAACAAGGCAGTTCTGAGAAGGGTTTATAAAATAAACAGACCTGATTGTCAACAAAATGACTTTTCTCTCTTTCTCTGAACAGGAGGCCTGTTACTGGGGTGCTGATATAAGTGATTCACAGTTAGAGGGTGCAGATGTGAATATTAGGACTGCAGGCTTGATGGATAAGATTCAGTTATTTAAAGCTTCTGTGAAAGGTATGTCTGTAGGCTTTCCAAGCGAGACGTATTTGAAATTTTTTGTGGTTCTGGGATTATACAGGTGATGTAGGTTCTCTTGAGGCGATAGGTAGTAGAGCTAACTCTCAACAAATAGCTGAGTAGTGACTCTGTAGTGCTAGTGAATGAATAATTATTTGTTCTCCACCCCGTGACCCTGGGAACTTTGGCAAGAATAAACTCAGCAGAAGACAATGAAAATAATAATTGTCAGACATGGGCAGTAATTGTCTGTCTTAATGGTAAATTTGTGAATACCACAAAGGGTACATACTATGTGAGAGTTCTTTGTATCTTATGGGAAGACAGCAAGGACAAATCCAGATAAAACGTGGCTTGTAACTTAAATTTACCAGACGAGTAATAGTGGGGACTCATTAAGCTAATTCAGCTAAGCTAGCTGAATTGTTGATGTTTTGCAGTAGGAGTATTTTAAATGACGAGGCCTTTCTCCTGGAAGAGGGAATGTGTTTACTCTCAGTTCATGAGCTAGTCTGTGGAGAAGATAACAATTTTATGACCTTATTCTGGACCTCAAAGCCTGAGTCTAAATTAGTCCTTTATGAAATTCATGACAGACAAAAGCTGGCTGTTTTTCCCTGCGTATGGGTGATGAGGTATGCGTACTTTTTTACCTTGTAGTATTTATTTCTTACCAGAATGGTAAGAAATGTTATTTCTTTTTTATAAAAGCTGGTTGAGCTTGGCTTCTAGGATAATGGAAGGTACTTACTGAACAAGTAATTGGTGTCTTTGTCACTGGTCAGAAGCTGTTCTTTCTGCATGTCTTGAGAGGGACTGTAGGTAACTTGTCCTTCCATTTGTAGATAAAATTGTTATAAAATTGTTGTGCTGCAAGTGTTGATCCAAGGATGGTCCAAGAAAGATCTCTAGCCAGTTCTGGAAAGGCTGGCATAGAATCGACAGCAGGGTTTAGGTGAGAAGGGACTGCTGGAGGTCTTTCGTCCTGTCATCTGCTGGGAGTGGGGCTAACCCCAAAGTTGGGTCAGGTTGCTCGGGGCCTTGTCCAGTCGAGTTCTGAGCATCCTGAGGGATGGAGAATCAATATAGTCTCATCCTTTCACATGCTGGCTACACTCTGGCCAGCACAGCCTGGCCTTCATCACCACATGGGTGCAGTGCTGTGTCATGGTCAAGAGGACGGACTATTCCCAGAGTGCAGAAACTCTGGGGAGATACTTCAGAGACACTAGCTCCCACAGAACCCAAGTGATTCTGGCTGTAACCAGTTTCCTGGGGAGAGAAAATGGGGATGGAGAGGGATTTAGCATGTGGTTCCTTGCCATTCATACATGTGCATCTGAACATCTGCGCTAAGTGCCTGCAAGCTTAGCTCTTCTTTTGCATTTTGCTTGTAAAGATGTACTGTGTGTGGAGAAGCAGCAGTCAGTGTGGCACCATGCAGTCCCCCATTGGAGAGTCTTGCTACTGGAGCAAACGTATCACTGGTAACAGGGAATCTGCAGGCTAGACCACGCTGTCGTACATTTGTCTCTTCCCAGTCTGCATTGGGTCGGTAGTGCCGCTTGTGAGGAAAGATACAGAAGGAGCTATGAATATGGGCGCATAATCTGCGCAAGAGCTGGCAGACGGTTCTGTAAGGTGAACGGGGGCATAGCTGCTGTTCATTTTTCAGATAGTCAGATGTAAAGACCTGCCTTTATTCTGCAGCATTGCCGTTGCCTTCAGAAAGCTTTGACGCTGTGATTTCGGATATTCCGTTTGGGAAGAAGTTCAAGATCACAAAAGACCCACAGCTCCTACCAGATATTCTCCAGGAGATGGAGAGGTACGTGTGGCCTTTGACATGCTTGGGGTTTGGTGTAAATGTCATGATGGTTTGCGATCCTAAGTGTTCAGTCAGCTTCAGGTTTGCTTAGTTCCAAACACTCTCCAGCTCTGTAGTCTGATCCCATGCAGGCTGTGAAAGTCTGAGTCGTTTACTTGTCTCTTAAGGCTGTTGTGTCTTGTCTTGCAAGCTGTGGAATTGCTTATGGCAGCACAGGCTGACAAGGAATGAGCTTGTTGTGTGAGCCACACTCACAAATATTCTTTACGAGGCATGATGGTGAAATATTTGTGAGCTGTGCTCACAAATGTTCTTTGCAAGGCAGAAAGGAGAAAGAGGAGAGGATGACCTAGACAAACTTAAAGCAGGCCAGGCAAATAAAGCAATAATCCTCTCTCAGTTGAGGTCTGCTTGTATAAAAATCATAGGCTTTCTTTTTGGGGTCACAACCAAGCTTTTACCAGCCTGCCTTGGCAAGAAGGATTTCAGACCAGAAAATGGTGGTATGCGTTTTCCTTTCTGTTAGCATATACTGGCATATCCAGCTAGACACCTGGTCTGCTTCTAGATGCCTCCTTTCATCTCTCACCCTGTCATTTTGTGGCAGAGTTGAGCCAAGCTAATAGTGGGCTCCTTCTAAGGGGCAGTTCAAACTAACTGCTCCTTTATTTCATTTCTGGGCTGAAAACAAGCCCTTTCTATAGGATTGGTGTTCGGCAGGTGTTGGTCTCACTCACCCAATGCAGGAATGTGGTCGCAAAATGGTGAAGAACGTGAGGTAGCTCCACAGGGTAGCAGGGCAATCTTACGTCAGCTTGTGCTGGCCATCCCTCCCTTTGGCCGTGCTTGTCTTCTGGTCTTATTTGCTCTGTTGGGCCATCCTAAGCAAAATATTTCTTTGGGAAGGTGATGGTGAGGAGGAGACTATGACCATGAGAGCTCCACCAGCACGACTGTTCAATCCACTTGCTGTGAACAGAGCCAGGACAGTCTTTTTTTTCCCTTCTTTCAAAGCCAAATATAACATCTGCTCACGTACTGGGAAAAATGGATTGCAAACAATGGTTAATTTTCTTCTGCTTACTGAGTTTGAAAGCTGTTAAGGATCAGTGGAACAGAGAACGGACAGATCTTTTAAAGTTTCCAAAGGGAAAGGGCAGCTTCAGAATTGCCTTACCAACCTGAGAAGCTCTTGCTGCCCTGAGAAGCTGTTCCTTTGTAGACTGGTGGGGGCTCAAGCGACCCAAAACCAGGGTTTGAAGGTGATACTGCCTTCAATCCTTGGAAGAACACTAAGAGGCAAAAAACTGAGGCCCTCTTCTCTGCTAGCCAATGGAAAGAACTCCTGAGGTCAGAAATGTTTGGGAGTCACGACAGGGCCCAGTTCTCCCATTTAGGAAGAGGCAGGAAGATGGGGAATTTAAATTCCATTTGGAGATGTAGGTTACTGAGTTGAGCCATGACCCTTAACATGCTTAGGTGTTTTATCAAATGCAGCTGGTATCTGCAGTGTCAGCAATGTTGAGTTCTGCACAGACGAATGAATGCCAGGCAGGATGAACACCTAACCTTTGTTTTTCCTGCAATTGCCAGAGTACTTCGTGTTGGAGGGACTATTGTATTGCTGCTAAGCCAAGATCTCCATAAGCACATGGATGGCATTACCAAGTGTGCTGAAAATGACTCTCCTTATGCCATTTCCAATGGCACAAGTGAAACCATCACTGCAAAAGCCCTGAACGTCCATGGGAATTCTTCCTCCTTGGTGAATGGTGTTGAAGAATCCTTTCTCAGCAGCAGACAGACACGTTTTGGGTCTCTGGTGCCAGATGGCGTCTATGGAGTTAGTCTTGGAAAGACAGATGCTTTCATACACAAATACAGGAAGATCTCTGCTGCTGGGGATCGGTAGCTTTCTTGCGCTGTGCCTAAGTGAACTTGAATCCTGATACACTTGAAAAGCAGCATGGCAGTGATCCAGTGGAACTCTGCTGATCCGAATGAACCCTGTGCCATTTGTTAGCTCACCTCACTTTCTTTGGATTTCCTAAGGCACTGCTTTCGTCTCTCTGGTTTTTAGGAGAGATGGAAGATGCCTACTAGTGTTTCGGATGTTTTTACTGTGAAACACTGTAATGAGACAAGACTCCTCAAATCCTTGTTTAGGGAAAGCCTCTCAGTATCAGGAGGAGTTTCTTTGGGAGAGAAAGACTTCATTTGCAGAACTGCAAAAACAAGTGTGGTAATATTAAATGTAAATGGATTTTCACCTTCAGCAGTATTTTTAGGAAGCACGTCTAATCTGAAGAAGCCTCCAGCTCCTTTTGAGGGCTGGATGTGTGCTTTACCTTGCAGTTTTGCATTTTATTTTAAAGCAAAGATAAAAGACAGATCCAAACCACAAATCAGCAGTGGGCTTAAAGGCTGCGTGGTTTACAATCCTAGGCACTTCAGTATGAAATTGTCCTTAAAACTTAACTCAGCACTACTAGTCTTAAGCAAGGAAGACCCCAACAATTCTTTTCCTCCTTATTTCCCCATAATGTTCAATTTTGAGTTCTCAGACAATTTTACACATCAACACCAGTTATGTCAGAATATTTCTCAGAACTGCATCTGTATCAATGCAAAAAACAACTTCCTAAAGATCTGCAAATCTGAGAGACATTTTACTGAAACTGATTTAAAAGAGCCAAAAAGCCCAAAGCGATGCAGTCTTTGAGGGCCACAGAGTGATGAACTCCGATAAAGTACATCCCAATTAATCATCTCCTAGGGGTTCCTGGGTAATTCCTCATTTTTCCCTTGTTTTCCTGTGCTGAAGAGCCACACTGCATGTTCCCACACGGGAAAGGCTGCCTGTGCGTGGCCGGACTACACCTGATGGGGACAGCCCTACCTGATGGGGACAACCAGAGTTGTGTGGTTTGCTGGGTATCCAAGTGAGTGCGTTAACAAGAAATAAACACTCCATGTTACAGAGAACAGAATGGCTCACTCCCATGGACACCAGACTTAAAAAAAAAAAGGCCAGATGGCTTGGGAAATGTCATTATTTTAGGTCATTTATGTTACCTTGGCACATCCAATCTCCCCTGAGACGATGGAAGCGGTTGGCCCTGCAGTTTGACTGCCCTTGTCTTGGGATGCATCTCCATCTGCGAGAGGTTTCTCATCCCTGCTCTTTGCCGGTGGCTCGCACATCCCAGCTCACCCTGGCCACTGGCTGCCCCTGTGCCCACTGCTGTGGCCAGCTCACGTGGGTGGGGGGCAAGCTGACTTCTGCCCAGAGAAAGGGGCTGAGAGGCTGCCCAGCTGGACGGGCACAGGTCTTCCTTGCTGCCTGCAGGTGCGAGCCTGTGCCGCTCACCACCGCCCAGGGACTTGCCCTGCGTGCTCAGCGGGTGTAGGGACAGCTCTGCCCAAAATGCCGCAGGGCTGCCCCTGAAAACCTCCCGTGGGGCTCCCGGCAGCCCCCAAGTCACCGGGCCGGGCACACCTGTGCCATTCCAGCTGTCCTCACCTGCCAGCAGGAAGGAGGAAGAGCAGGAAGCAGGGAAGGGAAGGAGGAAGAGAGAGGGGGAGGGAAGGAGGCTGCATTCGGCCGGCAAAGCAGCCGGAAGAGTGTGAGAGGCTCGCAATGTCCTCGGCGACTTCCACCGCCTCTTTGCCCCGCGGCCTGGCCGTCCTGACGACCTTCCCAGATGTGCTCTTCATTCCTGAAATCGTGAGTGCCGGCTTTTCCCTGGGGGAGGGCAGGTGCTGCTGGTGGGGCACCCGGCACCCATCACACCGCGGTGTTGGAGGGGTGCAGCTTGACACAAATCGCGTGGTTCAGGGGCCAGGCCGGGTCCCTGAGCCCCAAGGGTCTGGGGCAGCCCCTGATGCCTCACTCGCCCTCCAAGGGGGGCAATGAGCCCTGAGCTGAGGCTCTGATGCCCTCCTTTAGTCTGCAGGGGGTTTTGTGGTGCCTCTGAAAACCGTCTGCAATTGCCCACTTAACACAGTTAAAGGGGTTGCAGGTGGGTTTCAACTAGGCTGCCCAATTGAGCCAATTATTAATTAATTGGAAGATGAGTTTAGCAGCTGATGCAGGCAGAGGATAAACTGCTTGCTGAAAGCAGGGGGTGATGGCTCACGGCAGCCAAGAGCCCGGACTGCTGAAGCTCGGCTGCCGTGTTCTGAGCCAGAGGTGCGGAGTGCTGGACCTGGGTGCGTGGGCAGTGGTGGGTGAGCAAACTCCTTGTAACTTCTTCCCATATTGTAATTTCATTGAGCAGGAGAAGATTGTAATCTTAATGGGTCTGGCACAGGTGATTGAAAGCAGTTGCTGTGGGCGCTGATTAAAAGATGGAAAGTTTCAACTCGAACCTTTCTCCTGTCTCCTCTGCCCCCACCCGTGAAGCCCGCTCTTCTCACAACAGTTTGGGAGGCTTTTTCCAACACCCGAGCACTTTCATCCAGCATTGAGGGGTTTGGCTGAGTGTTGTAGGATGGCATTCAGATTATTTCATGCTAAAACCAACTTTTTGCCACCTGGGACCAAATTCTTTCCTGACACCCAGCTCGGTTCACACTCTGGGATTTACAGCATTTAATTCCTTCTCCTAGTGACAAGGAAGGAGGAGCTGGGTTAAGGCAGGCATTACGGATGGGTCGAGAAAGGCTTTGGCTTCAGCTCCTCCAAATACGCTCTGGGGTCTTGGTCTCTGTGCCCGGGCCCTGAGAGCGAGCGGCAGGTCTGCCGTGGCCGCGGGAAGGAGGGTGCGAAGTCCCCGTGGAGGTTCTGGCTGGGCGGACACTTGCCGCCCACCCGGGTTGTGTCAGTCCTGGCGCTGAGCGTCCTCTTGGCCTCCGCGTGATTGCGGTACCGGTTGTGCCTCAAACTGTTGGTAATTACTGTCTCCAGGGGACTTGGCAAGGCAGCTTCCTTCAGGAGGCAAAAGTAAGTACGTACCCTATCCTTTGGTTTGGGTAAGATCTGGGAATGTGCATCCTCGAGGCCCAGGGACCACCCCGGAAAGAGGAATGCTGCGTACCTGGATTTCTCCATCTCGGAGGTGTAGGTGTAGTATGGAGGCTGTGTTACCTCCGCTGTGTACAAAGCAGGCGGCTGCCTTGAATCACAGCATTCAGAAGGATAAAGAGTTTCTTAATCCCTAGTGGAATCTGAGGTTTCCTGCAGTGGGTTAATGTGGTAATCACAAACAAAAAAACCATTTGGCATTTCAAATGCTAAGACAGTTGTGAAAATGCTAGCCAGTCCTGCCTGCAGCTCAGATGATTGCCGCATCTGGATGTGCTGATTAAGATTACCATTTTTATTCTGTGAGGCTGGGTTTAATTCTTGTAATCTGTTTTATTTGAAGAGCTTTCTGCATATATGGATAGCCAGACCTATGTGGAAAAGCTGAAACAAGCTGAAAACTGTTAAGTTTGCTTTGTAAAAGGCTATTTAAAAGATAAGTTTTTCTTAGAGTGCTGTCCCCAACCTGCTGTGGGTTGTTACTTAAAGCCTCTTGACCCTTTCCTCACTTGTATGACTCTGCACCATAAAACCGCAGCCCGTAATCAAACCATGCCAAACGTAACTTGGCTGAGTGCGCAATCGCATCCTGCAGAAAGGAGAGGTGGGCAGTGGTAAGAAATGAGAAGTGATACTTGCTCCCCCAGCCTCGTATCTCACCCCAGCTGTGTTGGATTTTAATGGAGCAACAGTCAGGTTTTCTCCAGGACCTTTAGCTGCGATGGGCTCGTGGTGTCACCACGTGAGTTATTACAGGGACCGGAGTAGCGTTCAAGCGTCAGACTGCGGTTGTCACGAGAGGCACCACAACAGCAGCGCTGTGGAAGAGCTGTTTTCACTCGGATATTTGCAAGGTCTCAACCACATCATTGATTTAATATGTTGATTTGCATAATAATAGAACTAATGAGCTTTCCTACAGGTGTGAGGTGGCACAGGTGATGTAACATTTTCTGAGTATCATAAATCAGAAACTTTTTTTCTACTTTAAAATGTCTCCAAGGAAATGGAAATGCCACGATTTGTATGAGCTGGCGCTTGGATGCTGGCAAAGGCTGGCCTGGGGTACGCTGGCCATCAGGATGATCTCGGAGTCAGCGAAGCTCTCGTACCTCTGGGGTTTCACCTGCAAAGCCAAGGCTGGGCGGTGGTGAGAGAGAGGTCCCCACAGCAGCAGAGTGAGTTCAGCTGAGGAGCTCTTCCTCGATGGATGCTGCACAGGCTAAACTTTGCACAGGCTCGGGAAACCACTGGGCTGAGTTGTAGCAGAGAAAAGCTGCTGAGTGCATTTTAGTGCAAAGCCACCACGCACAGCTTGGACAGTCCGCAGCACTGGACACCGTGCTCTCGTCCTCTTGTGTAGCAATCTGCTGGTGGAGAAGGATGGAGCTTAGCTACAGCTGTCCTTGTGTTCCCCACCCCACCAGAAAACCCATAGCGAGCTCCCAGGGCTGGCTGAGAAGAAGGAGGTCCCCCCGGCTACTGGACCAGCAGCCGGTACCTTGCACAGCTCCGGTGTAACCAGCGAAGGGTGGCCGAAATAGCTGGAGCAGCAACACAAGCCCCCCTTCCCAGGAGGGGCTGGGAACCCCAACCTGATTTCCCCTGCCTCGGAGAGTAAAATTGTCCGTGTTACATCTCGTCAACCTATTCCTGCTCCTTTCAGGGTGACATTTGCACGCGGCCTTCGTTAAGGCCATGTCTGTGGCCTTCCTGAGGCCACATCTCCGCGCTGTTTGTGCCGGAGGGCCGGGTTTGACACCGCTCCTTTCAGGGATCTGCCGTACCGGGTGTGAAGCAAAGATACCTGTCTGAAATAAACCTCCGTTTATTGAAACCAGCCTTCGACAATGTCTGAGCCAGCCTCCTGTGCGCGCTGGTGTGGGGAAGGCGTGAATGGCGGTGGCACCGGGAGGCAGGGCTACAGCGAGGCTTTTTGGGGTTTTTTGGGTCAAGGTCAGCGGCAGATGCTCCCAGCCAAATACCCAGTTTCAAGTGGAGGCTGGGAAGAACTCAAAGGCATCCCTGGGCTATTGCCATGGGCAGTGCCAGTGTCAGAGGTGTGCACGGCTTTTCGCTCTGTTCTGGCTAAGCCCATTTATCCCCTGCTCGCCCTCTCTCCCACTTTCACTTGCAGATCTTCGGGGGCCTTGTCTGGATCCTGGTGGCATCCTCGAGAGTCCCGTCCCCCATCCTGCAAGGCTGGGTGATGTTTGTCTCCGTGTTCTGCTTTGTGCTCTCCACCACCCTCCTGTGCCTCTACATCTGCGGGGTGCACGGGGGCAGCGGCGCCTGGGTCACCTTGGTAAGTGGCGGTGACAAACCGCAGGGCCCCTTCCCACCCTCCCGTCACCGGTAGACCAGTTGTCTCCTTGGCTGCTACTGGACTCCCCGACGCCGGCTGGGGGCGCTTCCGCGGGG